GGGGCGTCCTTTGGGCCAAGACAACAATAAATGTATTCTGTCTCACTAGGCCCTTTAGTGTTAGCCCGCCTTTGCAGCACTTTATTCTTAATAGTTGATTGATTATTTTTACTGAGAAACTAACTCGAATTCACAATCCTTGCCTAACTTGTGATTTTTTGTAAATTCGCATTAAAATTCAATATACTTAAAGTAGTAACAGGCCATCGGCAGAAATGATTGACTTCATTTATAGACTTACAGAGGATCATTTCGTAGTTATTATAGAATCGTATCGTTTCCTGGTTGGTGCACTCAGCAAATGGGAAATTTTTTGCATTTTTATCTTTGAAAACATGTTTTTGTCCAATATTTAATATTTTGCTAAGGAGTAATTTGTTAGAACTTGTAAATGCTTTTCGATTTAGCCTAGATCCACTCTAGTACATAGGTAGCCTCACTGTTTTCGTCATAAAGAGTAAGTACGTTTATCGCTTTAGATGACATTACCATGGGTTTTAGAACATTAAGGGAACTTTCTTTATTCATAATTCTGACGATCACATTCATTTATTTAAAGTTCACCATGTTATTAATTTCCTCTCTATGGCATGTAGACATCTTACTTCCAGATTGTATCTCATAATTTTTTCAATTACCCTTTTAATATAGAACAATCCTGTAGAATGTAAAGCATAGTAATGTTTGCTTTTATCTCTTTTCCTATTGTACTCTTAAGCCACAGTATTGATCGCATTATTTTCGTCGGGTCTTACACCTTACTTTGATGGACTGAGTGTGGCGCTTAGAATTTAATTTGGCAGGCCAGAAATTTTATTTCAGCAGCATAATCGAACCTATTCGTCGCTTCCTACGACGTAAATCTTTGATGCAGAAATACTATTTGGGGATAAATTGTTGGCTATGCTCTCTATAATCTACTTTTGCAGTTCTTTTAATAATGTGATTAATGAATCTAGCAATACTTCTGATTAGGTTCTTATACTCACATCCAATCTGCTGTTCATGTTTTGTACGAAACTCATTAAATAAAGATTCATGAGTTTATGAGGCATACATTTGCATAGCGTATATGGTACCCTTAGAATTAGAAAATTATTTTATTTTTCCTCTCGTTTAAGTTATTATCGGCCTTAATTTACATATCGCTATCTTTGTTACTGTAGTGCATTTTTCGACTGAAAGAGATACATGCTTTCGTTTTAATCAAAATGTCCCAGTTTAGGCTTTGTTCTAACTGGCCATTGATCACTATAATTAGATAAGACCTGTGGTCACCCTAAGTCGCGTAATGTGATTAAGGAGTGATGGAGAATTTTTCTACGATGCTGTGAGTAGGCCTCATTATGCCACTGATTTTCACTAACTGGGCCTCCAAAAGGCACTTTCATCAAAGATAGACTGTAGTTATGACCTCTTATTGGGAGAGCTGATGAAACTCAGGCGATTTCCTAACTTAAGTTCCGGTCGGGGTGTGAATGCCTTTTGGGAGGCAAGGCTAAGTGAAATTAAAGGATAACGTAAAGTCTATTCATATGATCGGGGGAAAATTCAACTATCAGTCCTTTATGAACTTCAGCAGCCTATGGTGAGTATAGTTTGTATTCAGGTTTAACTGAAGTTATGAAAAACCTACCTACTAAGAATGCATCGTAATTTATTTATTTGAATTGTTTATCTATTCTAGTAGTTTATGCTTTTAAGTGTACGTATTTGTCAATCACATAGATCATCTAAGTAATTTTTTTCATTTCAGCTGCATTATTTGATGGTTTGCTCTATGGAAGGAATTACCTTCCTCCATAAACTCAGTTTAACAATTTGGTTAAAACTCTATACATCTATGCAAAGTGCCAATTTTTTAAGTAGTCTTTCATCCGTTTTCTGCAGATGTCTTTGAATAAACTCTTTTGAAATTACTTTCCATTTGGAAGGAAAAGGAATTCGTAAAACTGAAGAAGGATTATTGATAAGTGAAGACTGTTGGATTGTGCTAAAAAGTCCTCGGCTTTCGGTGATGCCATTTCACGAATTCCTTCCAACCATCTTTTCCTTCGAAATGGAACGTAATGCCACAAGAATTTATTAATATATTAATGGCCCTTCTCCCCTAAAAATTAAAGTTTTTCGGAACCTTTTACAAACTCACCTATTTAGTTTATATGTAATATGTAATCTCAGCAACAACGACCTTCATGCATTGTCATTCTGGATCCTTCTTTCTCCTCCCTTTTTTCTATGCCATAAGACCACAACTTCACTACTAGAATCTGTCGTTCGATGTTCTATCCCTATTGAACAGCAGCCTCACTGTATAGAGCCGCAAGAAAGACGACCATCCGACACCCAAACCCCCGTCCTGTCACTATCACAGCTCACTACTTCTCGATCTTCACCGTCTCCACCTCCCGTTATTCTCGAGGTCAAAACTGGTGGGGCCGAATTTGCACCAAAAATTGAGGAACCCGGAGCGAAAAACATCTCTGGTATCACGGAAAGCCAAATTCCAGTCAAATCGAAATGTACAGATTCACAAGCAATTGGTGCTGACTCCAGAATACAACATCAAGCTGATAGCCTCCTTTTGGGTGATTCCACAGCCTTCTGCCAGATTGAATCCAGACAACGCCTAATTAATGGACCAGGTCGGGACGCAGAGGCAAGTTGATAAAAGTATTACAGCTCTTTAGCTTGGTAACAATCTCATGATCGATACACTTCCGGATTCACATCTCGTGAATTTGCGTTTGTCGTAGCAAGAAAATCTATAATCTCTAAATACACCAAGTAGACTTGTTAATGCATTTTTTCTCAGAAAAACAAATGGCCCTTCATCTACGATATAAGTAGAAGCCTCTGCAACATTTTATTCAAAGCGCTTTTAACTAGCATGACAAAACTATTTGCTCAAGTAAAGCATATCATAGATAGGTTTCGTAGCTTTAATAGTAAATTTAATATTTAAATTATTTTCACATTTTTTATGAGGCATTTTGCTGGCTAATACCACAATAATAGACGTTATTCGTTTAATCATGTTTTACTAGAATAATATCAATCGTTAAATATCCCCTAAATTATAAAGAGGGCGAGAGAGAGCAAGTGAATGAGCTCCTATTTTTGGAAGGGATATCTCAAAGATCAATTCAATCCTAAATATTTATATGACGCCTGTTCTAGTATGCAATTCAGCCCTCTTTTATCCTACTACGTCGGACAAGCAGATTTCTTGAAGAATCTCGAAATTATATGCAAACTATGCGTATCTGCGCTATATCCTAACAACAAATATCTTTCAATACAATTCTTTGTGCTTGTCTTAGCTCTGACTTAGCCTACTGACTACATTTACTTGAGTTCTCATACTAGACTTCTTAGGCTAGCATTATTGTAGTGAAGGCCCATATTCTGATTGCTTGTAATTTTGATTAGACTCGAAAAGATTTACGGTGTAGCACTTCCGAACAATTCAGATCTATGCAGAAAACTGGAAGAATCCCTACACTTTTAGAGCAATAAATTTGAATGAGCCTTACTTGGGACGACTAACCTACAAGGAATACAGAAGGGGTTGAGCTAAGGGTATGGCTTTGTCTGGGTGACTATAAAACATTATGCGAAGAAAAGTTTTGTTTTGAGGAATCTTTTGTTTCATGATTGTTGAGCTTACCTCCATTTAGAGTGAAAGTGTTGGGTGAAGAGATTCGAAGGTCGTTTCCACCAGAAGACGACGGCGGATTCCTCTTGAC